CTAGAAGTACCACTGTAAGTACCACTGTAAGTACCACTGTAAGCACCACCGTAAGTACCACCGTAAGTACCACCGTAAGTACCACCGTAAGTACCACCGTAAGTACCACCGTAAGTACCACCGTAAGTACCACCGTAAGTACCCCTGTAAGTACCACCGTAAGTACCACCGTAAGTACCACCGTAAGTACCACCGTAAGTACCACCGTAAGTACCACTGTAAGTACCACTGTAAGTACCACCGTAAGTACCACCGTAAGTACCACCGTAAGTACCACCGTAAGTACCACCGTAAGTACCACCGTAAGTACCACTGTAAGTACCTAGAAGTACCACTGTAAGTACCTAGAAGTACCACTGTAAGTACCACTGTAAGTACCACTGTAAGTACCACTGTAAGTACCACCGTAAGTACCACCGTAAGTACCACCGTAAGTACCACCGTAAGTACCACCGTAAGTACCACCGTAAGTACCACTGTAAGTACCTAGAAGTACCACTGTAAGTACCTAGAAGTACCACTGTAAGTACCATGGACTTACCGGCCCGTAATGTAAAGTGTTACCCTTATATTTAAGATGAAGAGATCCTTTAGTCCTTAGATCCAACAGTGGGGGAATTTTCATGCATGTTAGTGTTTGATAACAATACACACAATTATCAAAGTGGTATACAAATCAATGGAACAAATTAGAATAAAGACTTATTATCAATGACATGGATAACTAAAGTCAGACAAGTATCTTGGTTTTGTGAAAGTCAGATCTCAAAATCAAAGTAGGCCAGGCCCGGCTTGTACTATGATGGGAGACTTCTGGGACCACCAGGTGCCACTGTGGGGCAACTGTAAAGAACTAAACTGCAGTTATGTCCTTAGACAAGACACGTTGACCACATTAACACTAGGTATCCCGGCATTCTGAAACTACTAGAACTCCCAGAGAAGTCATTTTGACAGCTTCCATTCAAATCAATGGAATCTATGGAATTGCTTAAAACAGTTAAAACAATGACGTGCGCTGACATGATTGCAATACCACCCCGGGCCGATGGGGTTGGACCCGGAATAAAAATTAGCCAATGCTAACATATAGCATCTTCCTACCGCTCAAAAACGTCTTTACAGGATGGTCCAAAAGTTGGCTCTTTGCCCAAAGCTCTGTTCCACATGTGTGTCAATACTGAGGGGAGTGAATTTTTTTGGACCACTCTAGCTTACTCGCTGTGAATTTTTGAAGGCACTCGTTAAATGAATGGGGCTTGTGCCGGCTGACGCATGCGCAGATGCGTTTTTTCACATTTTCCAACCCCTGAGGCCATTTTGAAACTGCCCATAGATCACGAAGTTGTGGCACATTAGTTAGAACGGCGGAGATAGGAGTGACTTTGTCCGTTAATATTTACAGTCTATGCTTGAAATACAGCAAAACAGTTTGTTGAAAAGTTACTAAATGCTAACAGACCAGTCCAGGATCAGTCTAGGACAAGCATCTTTAAAAAAGTTGCTTCAACAGCCGTAGGATCTTGGTAAAAAATGACAATATTTAAATTCTACATTCAATAATAAATTTAAATAGTGCAAGATCAAGTTACTCTTTTCTTTTTTCTCTGAACCAACTTCCTTCACACGCAGCCTGCAAAGAAACATGGCTGTGTTTCTGTTTACGCAAAGGAAAAACGGTGCATCAGCATTAGCTGCTAGCAGCATATCTGTCGTCCAGCATCTCTACCCTATCTCTCCCCCATCACCCTCCACTTCCCCTGCTTTAGCCCTATCATGTGCAGCGGGGTGCGACGGATGTGCATGGCCGCTCCCTATAGCTTAGCATCAGGATATTAGTGTACTCTGCCACACGTTTGGACACACTGCTCTGACCTCCTTGTGTAAAGAATCAGTTTTCTATCTGTCAAGGCCTTGCGTATAACATAGTGGCATCCAGCCTCGAGATGTCCAGGCGGCCAGCATCTAGGGGCTGTGAGTGGCTGATAAACGCTGACAACAGAAGACAGTCAAATTATTGAGCTCAGAAAATGGTGACAGTGAGGGACAGTTTCTGAGACACTGTAAATACATCCACAGAAAATAAGCGTGGAGCCTGACATCGTTGCTGCCAAACACATTACACTTGTCTCTATACAGACTGCAGTTGGTAGAGGTGCTTCATAATGGTTTCTTCTCCTGACAAATCTTACTTTTGGGAAAAAAAATCAAACTCTCTGAAAGTGTAAAATAATTGTATGCAGTAGTTTGAATGACTGTTTAATAGATTGTTGTTACTTTAATCTTTGAGCTTTTTCTTCTCTATGTATCAGACTTTATCTTGCTTTATATCAGACAAAATGTACAATGTAATGCTTTGACATGTTTTTTCTCACAAGAATTATCCTCAAACAATTTACTTGTTTTGCAGATCTGCTCTTTTCTGGGTATGCTCAAGAGAGATTTGCACCAGGATTTACACATGCAGCAGCACATGCAACTCTGCTCACTCTAATTGTTAACACATAAAGACATTGTTTCCTATGAATAGATATCGTAGCCACTAAAAAAGATGCCTCGCCACAGAGTGTTACTCCACAAAGTGAGGGCCTACCTACTGTTCATATTTGATATGTAGACTCAATTTAAAATGTACCTCATCCAGACAGGTTCTCCTTTAGGGTCAAATTTATCCAACACCAAAATGATTGGCTGTCGCTCAGTCATATACTTTGCAATATCTGCATTGCCCAGATGATATTCACCTAAGGAGGTCTAAAAAACTAACAGTGCGTGACGGTGATATAATCAAATAAACTAAGTTCCTCACAGCCAGTGAGAAACTTGCTTTTTACCCACTAAAATAAAACATATCTTAGTAGTTGACAGTAATCTCCTGTTTGTATACTCAGGCAACTGCACTTACAATTACAGGTTGATCTAATGTCCTGGTCAAACTGCTCTACAGGTAACATAGAAATCGCTCCATCAATTAAGGACAGTAGTTGCCATGGAAATGTCTTATTGCTCGTTACATGATGATGCAGTATGAGTATACTTTGTCTGCACTCTATACTTTGCGTGTAGGTGCATTGCCATTACTAATCTTCTGCACTTTCAGTGCTTCCTCTTCCTCTCTTAAAACTTGAGGTTGACATTCACTGAAAAAAATAAACATAAACTCGCTGAAGAAGGAAAAAATCATAGTGTGGAAAGGACTAGAGGTGGAAGGTTTTGGCTGGAAGGCCTCAAGATAGTTGTGAATAATGCAATACAATACAATTTGTTCTTAATAGCCCTAAATCACAACAGAAGTCATCTCAGAGGACTTAACAAAACCATTGAAATCTCCAACACAGATCAGAGAATCAACAGTTAAGACACAAAAATAATATAGAAGACATGTTGATAAATGTCCATGTTGTAGAATGTTAAAGTGTCCTGGATCATCACCACAGTCCTTTTTGTTGGACACTAACTGTCCAACAGACCCTCCTGTATCTACGGAAGCTTGTTATGTTCACTTGTGAGTGTGTTTTTTGTTCCGCTGGTATCATGTTATTTTATGATAATTTCATGTTATTTCAAGATAATTTCATGTTCTTACAAGCTACGGATCATGTTATTTCATGATACCAATTTATTATTATATAACAAGATACTGTAAATACAGAAGAAGAAGCTGTAGACGCCAGACCATACGCCAGGAATGTGGAATGGCTCAGGCAAAGGACCCGCTTTGCACCTTTCTGCGACAGCGAGGGGTGTCAGATGTATCGGATGCAGGAAGATCGAGTAAGTAATCAATGTGAATTTATGAACTGCTATCACCATAATTACATATCTGCATGATTTATAACAGTGTCTCCCAAAGTGGGGTCCGCAGGGGGGCCGCGGGAGGTCATAAAAAAAATAAAAAAATAATATAATTATTTAATGTTAAATTTATAATGTTTTTTTTGTAATATTAAAATATTTGTGTTCACTATTTGACTTGAATAATCCACTGTAATCATTTTTGTATTACAATGTTTGTAGCAGAGGCTATTTCCCCAAAATAAAATAACCAGAAGAGCCTATTCTTAATGTTGTCTTCTTGTTTATTATTTTGGGGGGCCACGCAGACCCGTCAGATTTTTAAGGGGGCCTCGGTGTTACTGAGTTTGGGAATGGCTGATTTATAATATTTAAATTGTTATTATTTAAATAACATGATAGTTTTATATCTTGAAATACCATGATATTTATCTTGTTATTTCATGATGAATTGGTATCATGAAATAACTTGATAGTTTTATATCAATCAATCAATCAAATTGTATTTATCAAGCGCTTTTCATACAAAAGATGCAACACAAAGTGCTTTACAGTTTGGTTAAAAACAATCCCGCCGACCCAAGACCCCTCCCCCAGACCCACCCCAAACCACAGACAAACACAAACACGCTCTCATGAACACACATACACACACACACACACATAATATACAGGACAAACATGTTAAATCTTTTACACTTTTTTATTTTTTCTAATTTTTAACCCCCCCCCATTCCAATTCTTTTATTTTTCAGCTCAACAAAGCTTAATGCATATCTTAAAAATCCGCATTCTTAAGCTATACCAAAAGGCTTTGTTTTTCCCAATTTGGTTGTGTTTTTTTGTTTTGTTAAGTCAATAAGATAACCCCCCAATTATATATTTTTTTTTTTAGTTCTTCAAAGCTCAAGGCATATCATATAAATCTACATTTTTACAATATGCCATTATACATTTAAATATTACATAATGCCATGCAATATTTAAATGAGCATTGTTTTTTCCAATTTGATTTTAAAATTTCAATGTTTTTGTCTTTTTTCCCTTTTTTGTTGAATTTTATGAATTCAACCTTAATTTTATTTTTATTTTTTTGTTTTTTATGCTTGTTTTTTGTCTTAATTATGTTTTTTTTATGTCCCCAGTCCTTCTGCGGTGACTTCCCACAGTAAGTGAAGGTGACCTCAGGCAGGAGTGATGTGCTCTTAACACGCTGATCTGAGGTATGCTCTCAGAGGACCAGGCGACACTCTGCTCCTTTTGGTCCTGAACATTTTAAGAACTCGGAGGAAAAAGTGTCCTGGTCGTCGGCCTCGGTCCTCGTCGAAGTCTTGGAGCTGGATGTTCAGATTTCTCACCGCTGCCTCCACAAACCAGTCACTCTGGAGCAGGGCGGAGGAGATGGGTCCCAGCTCTTCCCGGAGACTTCTAGCCGCCTCTTTAGCTTTAGTTTTGAGGTCCTTGGTCTTTAGGTCTGTTCCTCGGGGCATGGAGACTCTTCGCTCCACCTCACGCAGTCGCAAAATGACTTTTCCTTGTTCCCTAATGTCCAGGGACACGGGGGATTTGTCCAAGAGCTTTCGGATCATCGTTGAAACCATGAAGTGAGCGGCATCGAAGCTGACGTCATCTGTCTCTGGTGGGACGGTTTTCTCTGGTGGACTGACAGTTTCTAAAGGACTGTTAAAATCCTGGAGGTTTGGGGTTTCTGGAGCAGGAGGTTCTTGAATAACCTCAGGTGTGTTATGGTCCTGCACCAGACTCTCAAGGTCAAGAGAAGAGATGAGGTCCAGGGACGAAGAAAGATCTACTGGACTGTCCTGCTCCGGAGAAGTCTGAGCCACAGTGCAGAGGGTCTGGACAAGATAGAAAGGCACCTCTGTGATTGGATTCTCTATGATTGGTTCCTCTGTGATTGGCTCCACGGGGACAGGCACCTCTGTGATTGGCTGCTCGGGGATAGGCACCTCTGTGATGAGCTCGTTTTGGACAGGCACCTCTGTGATTGGCTCATTTTGGACAGGTACCTCTGAGATTGGAACCTTCAGGATTAGTTCCTCAGAGACAGGCAACTCTGTGATTGGCTCCTCGGGGACAGGCACCTCTGTGATTGGCTCCTTGGGGACAGGAACCTCTGCGATCGGCTCCTCGGGGACACAACCCTCAGAAAGAGGTTCCTCTAGGATTGGGTTCTCCGGGATTGATTGCTCTAGTCCAGTGTTTTTCAACCACTGTGCCGCGGCACACTAGTGTGTCGTATGATATTGTCTGGTGTGCCGTGAGAAATTTGTCTACTTTGTCTAAAAATAACTGCATTCGCTGTTGACGAGCGGTGACTTGTTTTGAACTGTGGAGTAACCATGTAATACTTTTTCAAATCAGTAGATGGCAGCAGATAGCTAAGTACTTTGAAACTGAAAAATTGGATGCGACCACTGGCTGTAACAGGTCAGCATTGTGGCGAGAAAGGTAAAATTGGATGCGACCAACAAATGTGGAAGGGAGCGAGACAAGAGCTTTGTGGCGAGTGAGAAGTGAAAGTGATAGAGACGTTTTTGAAAATGAATTATGCCGTTTCTGAACAGGATTAACATCCTCCGCTCTGCCCCGGGGCAGCTGTGGCCGCGTTGTAGTGGTTTAACTATGAAATGTACAATCGCGAACGCACTTCTGAACTGGGTACCGAGCGCAGACCATAGTCGAGTGGACAGAACCACAGACATGCGGACCGGACAGAACCATGGACTCGCGTTCAGGACCTCCCGTGTCCCTCATCCAAAACTCCTGAATTTAAAGCTCGGATACCTAAATTTTTCCCATGCACTAACAATGCATGTTCTTTGTGTGAGTTATTATTTGACTATTTGGGCAGAGAGTGGATTTTCTTAGTTTTTTTCCACACAGTTAGTGCCACTTTATTACCAAACTCTTGTTAATTGTATCGAGAAATGTTAAATAAAGCTTAATGTCAAGGCCTGGACTTAAGCATTTTGATGAGAATAACTGTATATTGTGAATATAGGCTACAGAGTATACTGTATACATTATAAGATAAGATAATGTTAGGATTTAGCAGACAGAGACGGATCGTGGTGTGCCAAACTCTGGAAGTTTATTTAAGTTGCTCTCAAGTTCCACTGGTTTACTCTGTTTCTTTTCCTCAGACAGAATAAAGGCAGTACACAGTTTATATAGTCATTGTCACGTCACACATCGAAAGACATACGTGTCACAAAGAGACAGTCACATCATAGTCATAACATAGAGTCCTTGTAGAGTCCTTGTACAGTCCTGCACGTAGGCCATATTGCTATCTAATACTAATACCCTCCCCTTTGATCACATAATCACATGTGATCACTCAAATCGATCAATCAATAAAATGGAAAAAGAAAAAAAAAATTCCAAAAAAAACTTAAAAAAATTATGTATGCATTAAACTCATAATCATCAAATCAATATCAGTGGATTTTATCCTCTATCCTGGGAAAAAATAAACAAACAAACAAAAACAAATCAAAAAATAAAAACAAACAAACATAAAAACAAACAAAAACTATTGGACACACAAGAACTCAGCAGATTCAGTCAAAACACAGACAAAAACGTGCTGAGTCTCAAATTTGAAGCTAATTTCACTTTTATTACTCTATACTTTTATTCTAATGCTAATTGTTTACACTACACTTATTTCACTGTATTATTTTCACTTTTTAATCTTAGACTGTGTACTTTACTTTCACTATTCACTATAGTTTAAAACTATTCTAATCTATTTACAAATATGTTTGCATATTTGCTTCTATTGAGCCATATTCTTAAACATACATTTTAATCTAACAAATCTCTCTGTGGTTTTATACTCTCATTATCAGTGGCTTATTATCAGTGGGATTTTGCTCCATGTCTATTCTCATTCTCAGGAATAAAACTGTGAACACAGTAAGGCAAATGGTCAACATTTACACTTCTATAGTGGTCAGTGATTTATTACTTTTTATTATCTAAAGATATTATTGTCAGGCAGTTTGGGATGAATGAACATCTTTAATCAAATTATTATTATCCTTACAAGAGCTAATCTATTTTAGCAGGTTTGGGGTCAGTTATTCTACAATGGTGTTTGTGCTGGAAACTTCTCAATATCTAAATATCTACTATTGTGTTTTTGTGCTATACACAAATGCATCAAAATGCTTTTAAATGCTTTTGAATCTCTGTTGGTTCTAATCTATTTCATTGATCTAGGCATTAATCTAGGCTACACTCATATGAACTTTTTGTATTGTCAACATTCACTCATGTTTGAAAACAAGTGAATTTGGCAGTATCTAATAAAACTGTACATAAACTGTAATTAACTTTATCTACTTTTGAAGTAAATGCTTGTGAAATGGTCCCTTTACCATTTGATATTAGCACTGGCTACAAATAATCTCTATTTTTGAAAGCATCTATGGTTGATGCATTTATCTATCTCTATTTTTACACTATTGTGACTCCAAAGTTTGGCTGCAGTTTGAGCAAAGGCATATTCCTAATTTGTGACTTCTGTCACTTTTAATAGCTGTAACATAACTCTGATTCTAATATTATAGCTGATCTATCAAAAGGATAACATTGTAAGGTACTATTTTAACTCTTATGTGGAAATGTGTTTATGAACAACAAAGGAAGTCAAATTCTACTCTTTTACTACTATTTAACATCTACTAAAACGCTACAATACTTATACTTTATCATTTTCAAAGTTTTTGTCTGTCAGATGTCTGAATACTTAACATGTATATTGCATTTGGTCACAGGTTCTGGTTGTAGCAATAGCATCGGCAATAGACGTTTTCATTGGCTGGTTCTTGTTCTGCAAATGGCTGTGTCCAATAGATCATCAGATGTCCAGAAGCTAGGGACAAACAAAAACAAAAGAAAGAATCATGAGTATCTCTCTCATTTAGTACGATATGTATGATTTCAAAAATATAAACATCACTCCCCAGTTTTTCTCTCTCAGGTCCTCAGATCCTCAGGTCCTCAGGGTCCCCTGAGGGTGAGTCTCAGTCGTCATCAGGTCAGGTCATCTTGGACATCAGTAGGGTCCAAGCCATGGTTCTGGTCTCTCCAGTTGGACATCAGGATCTCCAGATACAGTCTTTTCACTTGAAGCACATCAGGTCATTTGCGATGCACTTCTGGTCAATGGTGCAGTGTCTCAGTTCCTGTACACAGCTTGTAATGCAATAGTTACTCTCTATGGTTAAGTCAATTTGATTCTACTTTAAAGACAATTTCTATTCATGCTGTTGCTAATGTCCCTTAGACAAAAGCAAGCGCAGTTTACTTCTCTAATTTGTGTTTTTATCAGATCTAATTCTAATCAATGTAATTACTTCACACAGTACAAAATCAACAAATCAAAAGTGTCAGGACAGACGTCAATTAAGTCCATGACAATATAGAATTCAAATGAACATTTCTGGTCTCAAAAAATACTGATTCAAATAAAGATTCAAGTGATAGACAATTAAAAATGTGTTTACATTGGAGTAAACTTTTAAAATGCTTTTTTCATGTTCTGCTTTTTCATTTATCTATATGTAAATGTGAATGTGTGAGTGTGTGTGTGTATGTGAATTTTGGGGTTGTTTCTCAAGACTCCTCGAACCACCTGTAGGTCTCAAAGGTCACACTGTGGTGATGTAAACCACGTAGACACACTTTCAACTCCCTCTAGGTCTCTACCTGACGCTCCACCCATCACGTCTCCAGATACCTCTCTTTCATGGCCCCGGTCTCTCTCACACCCACTCAGTTCTGGAGTGGCGTGGGGAGGGGCAAGGAGGTGGCATTTTCCTTTGCTCTTTGATCTGTGACCTGTGGCTGGGTGGGCTTTGCGCTGTCCAGTGTCCAGCAGTGACCTCTCGTACAGTGAGGCAGAGTCTGAAAAACAATCCTTGAAACAGCCAATTTAAAAAAACAATAGATATCAGTATGCGAATGAGATTGTTTTTCTCTCTGAAGTCAAAACAATTTGAGCGCTCTGGGTTTTCCCAAGCGCTATGTAAATAAAGATTACTTATTCTCTTACTAATGATGACATTTTTAAGACCAGAAACTAAAGAAGTTATCAAAACAACAATTATACTCAAAACAAACAACCTTTTAAACTTTAAAACATGTATTATATACTTTTGTACTGTGTGATGTTTTTAATCTTGAACATCTTGGGTTTCACTTTATGGACTTTCCCTTTTACACTTATTTATCTCAGCATCTATTCTACTAATTTAAAATAATTGCAGCATTTTTCAAATGAAGTCAGTATGAATTGGAGCACATTTTAGACCAGGCTCCTGTGCTGCGTGCATCTGCAGCAGGAGGAAGGTCAGGTGCATAGTCAAAACAAAAACAAAAGTCACCACTTGAATGTGAATTGGGTGAATTGGGTAGTTTAACTTAATAATATAATACTTTTACAGCCTAATTCCCTCTTTCTTTTTTAGACGAAGTCTACAATCATTAATCACTTTTAACAGATTCTAATTTAAATGTTTGAAAAACGGCTTTTGTAACTAAAATAAAAACATAAAAAAATTCTCACTAACAGCTATGAAATATCAGATACAATAATGGACTCACAAAATAAGCAGCAGATTTGAAAAGAAAAGCAAAGCTTTTTGTACTAATCTTTGGGTTTCAAAAACATACTAATTCAAAACTTCTATTCCCTAATGGTGTTTAAAAACGTTTAACTGTGTCTAACACAATGTTCAAATGGCATATTTCGCAAATTTAACGGAATAACAACTATGAAAAGCCAAAAATCCTAAAGCAGTAGCTTTGCTTCAGATTCACAGCC